CTCCTCCGTTCCATTCTCTAAAATCAATGGAAAAAATATCCTCGCTCCTTGGGTGAGGATTAAAAAAAAAAAAATTTAATGAAAAAGCCATAACATTAGTACAGTTTTTATCCTGTTTGTTAAAGACTAAGTATAAGCATTTTATTTTTAATGGCTGTGCTATATCCCTCAAATGAATATAGTATTTATTTTAATTTTATGAATATTTTAATGATTTCTGGTTTACATATAGCTATATTTGTTCCCCAAATTGTAGCTAATAGTGCTGCATCAGTGCAGGAATATCTTTCAGTTTTGTTTTATTTTTTTACTGACAATATTTTAATAGCATTTTTAGAAATATTTAAAATATAAATATTCACCCATAACCCCTATAGCCTCATAGCATCTCTTCATCTTTTCATTCTGTTTTTCAGTACTTAACCATTAACATACCTATTTTTATAGATCTATGGTTATTATGTGCGTTTATGTGGGTTTGAAAAACAAGTTATTATGTTGGTGACCCACATGATTTTTTAAATAACTGAATAGTATTGTATTGAGTTGCTATACCACTAACTGTTTAGCTATTATTGGGCCTATTGTTAGTTCTAACTTTTTGTTATTAAAAATAATGCTACAGTAAAAAATTTTATACATGTACTCTTTTCTTCTTTTGAATTATTTTTTTTTGGATACATTCTTAAGTGAGAGTAGAATCCTTGGGTCAAAAGATGTGAACAGTACCAACCACTGTATATTTTATTGAATCTGACTACACACACACTCTCAACCATGTCCACTTTGATCATTTAAATGTAGTGTTTTGCTTTTTATTCCAATGAGGAGTTAAAAGTCATGCCCACTTCTGTTTTCCAGACAGGATATCTTCCTCATTCCTATCGGCTCATCAGCGTGGTCAGTCACATTGGTAGCACTTCTTCTTCAGGTAAATGGGCAAAATTATTTCAGCATTTAATAAGTGAAGTAGCCAGCATTTCCTCCTTACTAGGGTGCTCTGTGCTTAGCTTTGTGAGGTAAAAGTTGAATCTTCAAGAAAAACTTTGAAGTCTTTTGTCAAAAAGTTGTCCTGGTGTAGTATATTTCTCCCTTAAATGTTCACACTTGTTTTTTGAATGATTTTTAGAAACTTCTGTGGGAGTAAGTTAGATAGGGTGGCTGTGTCTGTCTCTGAAACTTCCTGTACCTGAGAAAAATTCAAGTTTGTTTATTTCAGGTCATTACATTAGTGATGTGTATGACATTAAGAAGCAGACGTGGTTTACTTATAATGACCTAGAGGTATCTAAAATCCAAGAGGCTTCCGTGCAGAGCGATCGGGATCGGAGTGGTTACATCTTCTTTTATATGCACAAGTAAGAAACTTTCCCAGTCTGAAGCCGTGGGCTATAAATTACCCAACTCTTTCTTCTTCCTTTAAAAATAAAATGTTCTCATCACTTAATTGGTTGATAATTTTTGGTTTTGTTATCTTTGCTTAGGGCTCATGTCTTATTTCCTTATAAGTCCAGAATATTTTCTCTCTTAAGTCAGCATTAATTACTCATCACATAGTCGCATCTAGGTATGGAACTTAAGACTGGTTTATGATAGAAGCTGTGTCTTAGCATAAACCTTTTTGGTCTTCTAGTTGTATCAACTAGAAGATCTGAGTTATATCGATGGAAACTACATAATATTTTTATGAAAGCTGGCTCTTGCTAGTGTTCTCAAAAATCAGTACTTGGGTCCGGCCAGCGTGGTTCAGGTGTTGAGCATCGAACTTAGGATCCAGGAGATTGAGGTTCGATTCCTGGTCAGGGCACATGTCTGGGTTTCGGGCTTGATCCCCAGTAGGGAGTGTGCAGGAGGCGGCCGATCAATGACTCTCTCATCATTGATGTTTCTCTCTCTCCCCCTCTCTTCCTCTCTCTGAAATCAGTAAAGACATTTAAAAAAAAAAACAACAATTAGCACTTGGGGTTAAGATGGTGATCAAATGGGATTATGCAGGCTTTATCAGTATTTTCTGTCCTTTGGCTTTGCTCATTGAATGCTTATTTTTTGTTTTATTTTAAGGGAGATCTTTGATGAGCTGCTGGAAACAGAAAAGAACTCTCAGGCACTCAGCATGGAAGTGGGGAAGACCACTCGTCAGGCCTCATGAGGAACAAACCCCGGGGTTGGCAGTGTGCACTGCATACTCTCCCTTACTGTCAGCCATCTCACCTTTCCTCCGCCTGAAGAGAGTTTTGAACTCTACTTGATGCAGGAGCAACAAACAGCTCAGGGCCAAACCAAAAGACAGAAATTGCAATTATGTGGAAAGCTCCATGCTAACTGTTTTATGGAAACTTTGGTCTCACCTCTATAGCTGATTATCCTCTTTTTCTCCTACGAGAGTAGCACTTCCTTTTGTCTTAGAAATTCTTGTTGTAAATATATATATATGTACATACACACATATATGTGGAATGATTGGAGCCTTAAAGAGTTAGGATGAGCCACCAGAGTATGCCTGCTCAAAATCAGTAGCACAGCAGTTTGGAGAAGAAATGAAGTTGTCCAAGAGCCCATTCACCTGAGAAATGTGTGCAGATATACATATCAGTTGGCATTTAGCTTTTATGTTCCTTGAGTAGTCTCACTCAAGTCTGTGTAATCTTTCATGTGTGTTTCTTATTAGTAAAGTTCACTGGAAAACCAGCTCTCCGTGTTACACTAATGACAGCTTGTCCTCCTTGCAAAGGAGGGGCATTTCTGCCACCTGACTTGGGGGGCTTTTTTAAAAAAAATTCATGGATTTGTAATGCTTTTGCTGTTTACATGCAGTCCCAAGAAATGATGGATTGTTGTTGGTGCTTGGAATGTGTTAAGGTCCCACATTGGTATTTATTGTACACTTTGTATTTTCTTTAAAGAGATTCTTTCACACACTATGTTCATTGTATATCATTTACATTATAGTGGAGAAGATAGAATCTTTTTTTTTTTTTCCTGTATCATTCTTTTCTGGAGCAAGCATTATCCTATCTGAGTTCAATCAAAACTTTAAGAGGTAGGAAAATAATATTGTCCCAGTTGGGACTCCCCAGCAAGGATCCTTAAGGATGAGGAAGAATGCTAGGATCTCTGTCTCTCAAACAGAGTGGTCAAGAGGAGTGTTCTTGTGTTAAAAGCTGAAGCTCTGGACCACTATAGCTAAAAGCCCTACTACAGTGTGAAATAAATACATGAGCTAGAGGATAGAGCTTGAACGTTTAACCATTCGCTGTCTGGCTTTGCCCTTAAAACAGGGTGAGAGTTAAAGTGTGATTGGTTTAGGTAATCCCAAGAACTAACATAACAAAGGTGCATAATGTATTTATCCTACTTTTTAGGTGCTTGGAGTTGAGGTTAGTGGAAGTACAGCATTAATTGCTGCATTAGTCACTTAGCTGACATAATCAGCTTGGTTAAGCAGCTTCTGAAACCATATAAAGAATGAGTTTGAGAGTAGAATTCTGTCCAAAAAATAATTTTGTAAGCCTAGGGATCATTAGGATCATACAGAGTTAAATACAGCAATCTGAAACCTTCACTATTTTGTTTTTCTTTTTCTTTTTTCCTTTTGTTGTAAACAAGATTAGCGTTTGGAAGTAGAGAGAAAACCATATTTGGTTTTCAAGGGGAGAAAACATTGTAAAGTTCATTATCACAGAAGATGCAACATCTTTTCTGGAAAATTGCATTAAGAGAGCTCCAGCCCCACTCTTGAAACTTGGATGTGTTCTGATGTAGTAACCTTTTCTAAAATTTTGAATCTTTAGATTATAAACAGCCCCAGTACTTTTGCTTAACTACCGATAAAAGCTTTGCCTTTTACCATTTACTTAGATGTTACTCTAGTGAACATTCCAAATGGTGCGGTGGTAGGATATGCAGTAGTAGTGTCAAGCAGAGGAAAATATGTCTTTTAAAAATTAACTGCTTATGTTTTATTTCCACTGGGGAGCCTTTTTTTTTCCCCTCAAAAATAACTGGTTTTTCTCATACAAGTGAAGTGGTGATCAAATTCTTTAGCTATTTATTATTTCTCTTCCCTGTGTCTGTATTTGGAAGCTTTGAGAGGTGATGTTAAAAATGATTGGGAATGATTTGAAGTGAGGGGTACATTCGGGCATCTTAAAAAAAGTGAGAAATAATGCCATAAGCCTAGATTGCCCATGAAGTTCCCTCGTTGACTTGCCTTTCATAGCTTGTGTGTGGTGTACGGTTTAGAAGCACTCTTGGCTCAGAAACCTAATTCAATTTCATCTTCATGCCTTGGGCAGGACTTGTTAGTTGAATGAATACAGGTTACTGGGGTAGATGAGTTATCTCACTGAATTTTCCTTGATAGCTGTTCATTGATAGCTGCTCAGTCTTCTCCTCTCCCTTTACTCCTTTAACTATTACTCCTTTTCAAAGTTACTTTCTTGTTTTGGTTTAGTGAAGGAATAACTAAACAGATGGAGATTTTATCTGGACCATGTTGATGGAGTTCATTGTTTTGGTTTTTGTTTTTGAGCTGACTGTATATATTTAAAAATTATAAGTAGGTAATATTTTTTGTGCAGTATGATCAGTTTGCTCAGAATCGGGAGGGCGGAGCATTTGGTATGTTGTGCCAAGAAGGGACAACTTAAATAGGGACAGAATGCTTCAGTCCCAGGCAGCCTGCACAATAACTTTCCTATTGAAAATAGCACATGTGGTTACATTACTCTAAAGGACATTGAATTGGAACTTGACAGCACTTAGTTCTGCACACAACTGATCTTAATTGGATTTTTTGAAAGGGAAAACTGAAATTCAAACATACTGATTTTTGTCAGGTAATGATATAACGGAGAATTGGAAGGTTGCATGTAGCCAGATGCTCTCTCTCATCACTTTAGTAGCCATGGCTATAATTTAAGCCTGTGAGAAGATAGACTGTTTTGTGGGCAAAATATTTATGTGTGTGTGCACACTCGAGTTTTGTTTCAACAGGCTAGAAAAGAAGCAAACCCATGATGACTTGTTCTATTTATATTTTTATTCCAAACACTATTTGTTTACTTGCCATGCTCTGTTAATTGGAGGCCTGATTTAATGGCTCAGTAGCAAATGTAACAAATGTAAATGTGTTTACATTTTAAGAAGTGTGCAGTGATACCTAAATATCAGCTAACTCTAGGAGGCAAACATTAAACTACACATTTCTTTCTCTCTTTGATCTAGTGTAAAATTCTTTTAAAAGAGAAGCTTTAAGAATTAAAACCTCAGCAAGTGAATTCCTGACTTGACTTACCCTTCCATACTGTGGTTACCATTATATAACTATATAAATATAGTTACAGCTATAGATATAGTTGTATAATGAAAACTTTGAAAACACTTAAATTCTTGGCAGTGTCTCATATATAGTTAGTTGATCGTTGTGAGTGTAGAGAGAGCATGGGGGATGGGGCGGAAACACAGAAAGAAGGTAGTTTATAAACTCATTTGTGATCTGAAAAGAGATTATATTAAATGAAAACATTACCCTTCTCGTTCACTCCTCTCTCCTCTGAAATGACACAGTGATGCTTTTGGTCATCCAGTCTTTCTTTTGCCCTGTTTGATTTAATTGACCCCCTTAGGCAGTGTTTTAAGTCAGGAAAACAGCTAGATCTCCAAGTACATGTGGATCTTGTATCTATATGGAGATTTTTAGAAAAAGCAACAACCCAGTACCAGTTACAAGTCACATAAAAGTGTCCCCCGAAAACAGATGTCTTTTTCCTTCCCCCATCGTTTTACACTGAGTAATTGCTCTCTTTAAATGTGTACGAAAACCAGATTTCTGACCTCTAACATCTTTCTAACGCATTATTTCAAAATCCTAATTTTGTCTCTAGTAATAGGTCTTACTAGCATCTGAAGAAATTTTGTTTTTAATTGGGAAACTATAGTTTGTTAGGCCTTGAGAGCTGTGTGACAATTCTTTTGCTGTGTCTCACACCACAATCATTGATTCCTATGGCATGTGTTGATTACTAGGCTTCAGGCAGTCTCTTTGGTTGTATCATATTTATGAACAGTAAGTGTTCCTTTCCATGTGTGCTAAGTGTCTGAGGTTTTGAAGTTGTAATAAAAAGTGTGCCAGGATGAATATAAGCAATTGATTTAGGTAACATTGGATTTAAAGTATAGAGGTTCAAAGAATAGGAGTGTACACTGGCGTAAGAAATAGAGTGGATTGAGGGTCTGGATCAGAACCCAAGTTCATTAGGCCAAAATGCCAAAACAAGAGCAGTCAACTGGACTGCTCTGTTTCAAGAATGGGGGAGGGGGTGCGAAGAGTGACCGCATGTGGTTGTACATACCTCTGGTCCCCAGGTTTCCTTCCCTCTGACTGCTCTGGCCTGTTAGTATTTATTTATGCTACAGAAAGGAAAACAGAAGTAAGCTTCCTACACTTTGCCTAATTGAGCCACTACCAGGTTTGCTGGCAGCTTGGGCCATATTATCTGTGAGGTGATTTTCTTTGTGTTCAGAGTGACTTCTGATTCTAATTCTTTATGTTTTGTTTTGTATGGAGCGGCACTTTATCTGTGTTTTAGCAGAACTGTTCCTCTGTATCCTTTACAGTTTTTTCTTGTTTTGGTTTCCTTTTTAAATTATGCATAGAGTTTCTTTGTGTGCGAAATTAAAGCCTTTATTAACCTTGTGTTGGTTCAACTTATTTCTGAAAAGGACATATTCTTGCAGACACTTAACAACAGTTGTTGAAGTTGTGGGAATCACCTTCTGTTGGCCTTCAAACTTGGACTTCCATGCAGCACTGTTAAACCCTAAAGGAAATGGGATGGTAAACCAACGTGTGCCCTCAGTGAGTTCCCGTTGTTTTCATCTGAGGAGCCAGGGAAACTTTGCAGAGGTTCTGAATAATAGTTTATAAACCCAGCATTGGCCTTGGCTATGCTCTTCCTCTGCCTTATTCAGAGTACCAGAGAGGGAGTGAAATGGCATTGCGTAGCTTACCTGTCTAAGCCTCAAGCCTAGACCCAGTGAATGTATGTGGTGCTCTCACTGGGGACAGGTTAGTGAGTTCTGAAACCTCCTACTAAGGCCATTGAACTCTTTCAAAGAAGGGATCCCCTTCAGCTTTCCACCCGAGGAGGGCAATGAGGAAAGCATATGTGAAAAGGAAAAACCGTTCCTCTGGGAAAGATGTAAAATTGAAAAATGCTTCAGCCCATCTGTCATTGATAAAAGCCTGTGGAAGACTAGACCAAGTGTTCTCTGGAGTGTTTGGCTCCTCTTCTAAGAAGGGGAAGCTCTAAAACAGGATGGTTAAAGTAATGCCACACTCCAGAATAGAAATAATGCAACTGCCATTTTTTTTTTTTTTTTGGAGTGTCAGTTTTAAAATACATTTACATGCACAGGGAAAATAGTAAGATTGTAATAACTATGGGTGGTGCCAGGTGGGCACTAGACTTATCAGGGGGATCACTTCATAAGTTATATGTCTACAATAATGTACACCTGAAACCAATGTAATGTTGAATGTGAGCTGTAATTGAAAAATAAAGACATGTTTACATGGTTAGAGAATGGAGGGGCACTTACTCCAGAGCCCATGATCATAACATTTGATTCAGTTTCTTTAAGGAGGGGGATTGAGAGTCACTTTCATTTCCTTGTGCCCTCTGTATGTGAACGTCCTAGTTAGCATGCAGGTACAGATACCTTTAGAACGTGAAATTAGGTTCATTTCTTCAATTTACTTTTTAAAAATTAAATATACTGGGGTGGCACTGGTTAATGAGATTATATAGGTTTCAAGTGTATGTTTCTATGATACATCATCTGTATGTTGCATTGTGTGCCCACACCCAAAGTCAAATCATCTTCTGTGACCATACCCCCTTCTCTCTGGTAACTAAAATACTATTGTCTCTGTCTCAATTTCAGCTTTATATCCCACATGTGAGTAAAATCATATGGCCACCACCTTGAGAGCTGAAATTGGGACCACAGCCTCCTTGGAGGAACAGGTTAGTAAACAGAAGCATTGCCACAGACTGCTGCTCACAGGTACAAGTGTAAATTTTCAATTAGTAAAGGATTAATACCAGTAATAACAAAACAAAATTGCTTCACAGCCACAGCTACTTTTAAAATAGTCCTTTGGCTTTCTTGAGGTTTTGTTGCTTCCATCGAGGCAAAGCAGAAAAGGCAGCTGGAGTCATCCCCAAGGCTTTGGTGAAATCCTCAAGGGACAAGTGCTCCTAGAACAGGGACCAGAGGCCAAAAGTCACATTCTTACTCACTGAGTCACATAGGTGTGGTATAAAAATCAGATGAGTAAAAACAGGCAGTGTTAGGAGAGCCAGGGAAGGGATGCAGAGGCAGTGGCATTGAAGTCCAAGTAATTTGATCCCTGAATTGGGAACGTAATAAAAAGGACACTAACAAACATGAGAGAGATTGAGCTTTTGACCAGGGTCAAGTTCACAGTAGCCCTGAAATAAGTAGGGACATTACTTATCTTGGTTAAAGAGTTGCTTTCCAGGTCTTAGTTTTCCTCTTTATAAAATGGGAGAAATTTCTTAAAAGTCAATTTTCACTTCTTTATAATGCTTTTATGGAGGTGAAAATAATATATATGAAAGGGTAGTGGAAACGGTCTCTTGTTCATCTACCTCCTTATCAAACAGTGGACCTCCAGCTAGGAGTCACCTTTCTGGGCCTTGGGTATCTTCAGCCATAAGATGAGGGGATTGCCTGAAATGACCTTTGCTCCCAGCTAATATGGCAGTGATACTGTTTAAGGCAAGCTAAATGCCTCAAGGCACACTCAAGAACCCCAAATTAAGGCTGCTATAAAACATCACCCACCAGCCTTTATCTCTGCTCCCCCAGGGACCAGGAGGAAACAGGGTGGGGTGAAAGAAGTGGGCTTCTTTTCAGTTATGGGGAGTTGCTCTGGGGAACACTTCGCTACTCCCCCAGAGAGCCCTGAACTGAACAGCTTGGTATGGCAAACACCTGCTCCTGGGTTTCAAGCTCAGGTGATTCTGATGCCCCAGTTCTCTAACCTGTCATTAGATTTGCCTCCAGCCCCTAGAGGCATTTTCTCCTCAAGGCTCTTGGGAGCCCTCCCCACTCCCCCAGGCAGGGCAGTGGAGTGCCTTGTTTTGGAAGAAGGGTAAATATGAGTGGCTTGGGCATCAGTGGATAGGGAAGAGCTGCCCACCCCAAGACTGTTTGTAGCATTGCCCTCCCCTCCAGGTCCCTCACAACTGTCTGCAGTGTCCTCTTCCGCCAGTGGCTTTAGGTGCCCTCTCTGTCCCACCCAGGCCAGCTCTGCAGCTTGGTGGAGACTCGTGGACTTTGACCCTGGGCTAGATAGCAGAGACTGCCCATCCCAATGGACTTGTATCTTTCCACTGATCCTGTTCTTGAACCCTGCTGTCCTACCAGCTGATTGCCGGCCTCACCCATGCCCACATCCGCCTCTCTGTGGCTTACTCACTGGTGTTCAAACACTTAGATTACGCTCTTGCTACTGCCTGCAGTCAGACCCACCAGCCCGCTGTTCACTGTCACTGGCTCCACTTTTGAATTTGGAGCAGCCAGAGGTCTGAAGACCTCTTCCACCCTCCCCACTTGGCATTGAACCCACAGCTCTCCCGCAAGAATGTATGCTACTCCCATGATAAAAAATCAGCAACAAACAATTGATTTCTTTAAAAGGCTCTAAGACTTCTTAGACTGCTTCTACTCTGTTGGGGTTGTGTTCGTTCTATTTGTTTCATTCAAAATTAGCCATCCATTTAGCCTCCTGCCAGTCACCTGGTTCAGTAACACTGGCTGTCCTTCCCTTTAGAAATCCTTTCTTTATGCTACATGATACCATGGTAACGGTGGGACTCAGAAGACCTGGTTCTTGGTCTGTCTTTGCTACTAAATGTTATGTCACATTAGGAAAGTCACTTCCCTTCTCTGGACCTGAGTTTTCTCAGGAATAGAAGAGCAGTGATAATCACAGCTTACATTTGTAGAGCACTTTTTATGTACCAGGGGCTAGGCAAATAATATTTGTAATATTATTACAAATAATATATTGGTATCATCCCAGCATTACAGTAAGGACACAGATGGGCATATCTGCAAGAGAATGCATGAAAGTGGTCTCCAAGGTGAAGGGCAGGCTGCACATGCTCTGGGAACAATACACTCCCGTGCATATCAGGCCCAAACCCCTAACAGACTTGGATATTCTTGGAGAAATCAGGCACCTCTCTTCTGTAGATTTCTTAAGTCATTTGTAAGGCTTCTTTATGGTTTATAACACACACAGTAAATTTTCTTTCAGTACCCCATCAAGCTAGATTTGAAGCCTATTTTGGATCTCCATGAAGTGGGAATGAATATTAGAAATGTGTTTTTAACAAGTTCTTGCCAAACTCCCCTCAAGGGATCCACACAGGCTGCAGCTGCAGCTGCAGCTACCAGATGGGTCTGCCCTGGAGCTCCTTTGAATTGCCTGCCCAGCGAGCACATATTTCAACCCAGATATCTCCCAGGTGCCTCAAACTACACGGCTTCCACTGAGCTCATGATCACCGTCTAAGATCAGTCTGACCCAGGGTTTGTTTTGATTGTTTTTTTAATCTCAGAGAATAACAGTTTTCCCCTTTCTCTCATACTCTTTATCTGGTACTTACCAAGTGTCATTAATTTTACCTCCTAATATTTCTCTAAACCGTCTCCTTCCCATCACCTTCCTCGCTACCACCTATTCTAAGCTCCCATCTGCCTCTCAGCCTAATTCTCGGCTGCTGCTTTTCCACCTTCCAATGCATTCTTCACTGAGCTGCTATAGTGGCCACTTAAAAGCATACACCTGACTGCCATCTGCCTGCTTCAACCATGATGACTCCCTTCCACTTTTGGGATGACACACCATCAATAACATGTTATAGAAGGCACTGCTGAGTTCAGCTCCTGACCCCTGCTCAGCTGGCCCGCTGCCCCACCCCAGCTCGCACACAGCACTAGCATTTTGCCCCACCCTGTGCTTACTCCCTGCCTCTGGGCTTTGTGCATGCTGTTCCCTTCTCCAGGAATAGCCGCTCCGCCTGAATAATTCCTGTTCACCTTTCAGAAGGAAGTCTTCTCTGACTAAACCAGGTTCCTTTTTGTAACACTTCACGGCACCATCTCCACTGAAATTAAATAATGTAATCAGGCTCCTTTGAGCTCTCCCTGCACTGAGATGCAACTCCGCCTGAAGGTAGAGACCAGGGATGTTTCGTTCACCAGGTCATCCCCAGCACCTGGTCATCTGCAGGGTGCAATCAGGGAGTCAAGTCAGTGTTGTCCAATGAATGGAGAGGCCTTAACATGTCCTCCTCAAGTCTAACCCACCTCCTTTCTGCTGGGGTCCACACCCTTAGGGAGCTCCTCCACAGGTTTGTTCACCAACTGCTCCAGAGGGAAGATGGGTAGAGGCCCAGAATTGAGGTTGCTGTTAGCATTAAACACGTCCTGTTTAGGATTTGTGATCTCCTAGGGGAGAAAAGGAAACCACTGTTACTTTGGCTGGTTTGTGGCTGCCTCCCTGGCTGCCTCCCAGACTGCCTTTCTCTCTGAAGTCAACATTTATCTTAGGGCACCTCCTTCAAGATGCCTTCCATATCCCACACCCCACACCAG